AAGACAATTAGGATCCTCCTTATAATGTTGAAAAAGAAAAAGATGAGGAAAATGAAGAAATGGAAGAATTGGAGGAAAAGAAAACAAAACTGAAAAAACCAAAGGTTGAAGAAAAAAGAATGGTGTTGTATGAGAGAGAACCAATAAAGAAGATTGTGAATAAAAAAGAAAGAAAAAAAACCTAAAGTTGCATTGGTTAAAAAAGAAGAAGGTGATGAAGAAAGGACTATAGAAGAGGAAAAAACAATTACAAGAGGAGGACATGTGAAATTCATGCAATGGGTTAAGAACATGAATGAAACACAAAAGGAAATGGTACATGAAATAGGGCTGGGGCCATTGTTGGACATATGACTACCTCAGCTTGACAAACAGTTCAGCCACTGGGTTTTAGACAGTTTTGAAGTGAAGCAATTTAGATTGAAGTGGAAGATGTGAGGATTGTTTATGGTTTGCGAATGGGAGATATTCCCATTGTTGAAGCAAAATCTGACAAGGCTAGTGAAAAATTTGGTTTGTTCATTAAAAAGTGGAGACAAAAATGGCAAGGCAAAACACCATCTGTGAACCAAATTATTTCTCAATATACAAATGATAAATTCAAAACCCAAAGGCCAGCAGAGGAAGATTTTATCACTAACTTTCTGGTTGTTGTAGTGAATTCCTTGATGAAGTGTATTTCAAACAACCAATGCCATTTTAAGTTTCTGTTTTCTATGATGGACAAAGAAAAAATAAAGAACTTAAATTGGTGTCAGTATGCTTTTGACTCTCTCATCAGCTGTCATGTTACATGGAGAAAGAATGGAAGCAAGGGATTTTACAATGGACCACTGCAATTTCTGATGGTAAGTTTACTAAAAACAATACTGAATTATTACATGTTCATTTACATAACATAAAATGTTCATTAACAAAATGTTAAATAACTATTTGACAAAAAAATTTAATCTAAAAAATCAAATGTTCATTTCTGTTATACTAATTGAACACTTATAATAATGACTTTGTTGCAGTTGTTCTACTTTGATAGAGTTCAAAGATTAAACAAAAAACAACCAAGAACAATTCCAATAATATCTTTTTGGACAAGGGATATGGAACTTGAAAGGATAAAAACAGAAAACGAGTTGAATTATGGATATGGAAAAGTCCTTCCAAGAATAGAAGAAAAACCTGAAGAAAATCCTAAGGTATATAAATGTTCATTCATAACTAATGAAATGGTCAATTTTAAAAAATAAAATGTCTTATTCAAATGTTTATATGTTCTATAAATGACATGTCTTTATGAACGAATTTGTGTATTTGGTTAATGAAGTTGGTGCATCTTTGGCTAAACTTTCTACCAAATTGGTTAAAGCAAAATAAATCTTCTCTAAAAACCAATTGGTGAAGAAAGTAGGTGAAGTGTTGGGAAAGATGGCACGAGAACAATCAATTCTCAGCCAAGATGAAGAAATATATGGGTCAGAGGATTTTTTTAATGTCATTGCACAAATTAAGAGGGGCCTTATAGAGGCAAGCAAGGCAGAAAAAAGGAATGAAGGAAAGGAGAAGGAATATAATATAAGAAAAGCATTTAGTTTGGGCTTGAACTTGACTCCCTCGACTCCAACAAATGGTAAATATATTACTTGAAACTTCAGTAACTAATTAATACATTAAAAACTTTTATTAAGTTTAAATTTCTTTGATCACAGAAGCACAAATTAATCTTGGAGCAACAACTGATGCAATTATTCCTTCTATGGAAGTACAAAGTAAGAAACTTCTATATAATAAATGTATGCTAAATATAATGAATATTCATTTACACTAATAATTTATTATATATTAACCAGCAGAAAAAGTTGAAGGTTCAACTTCAGAAAAACCTCAAGATGGAGGAATTTCAAAAGAAGGTAAAATGTTCACTTATATAGTATCAAATGTACATATTAATCTTTAATAATATTAAATTTTTGTATGATTTAAAGCAATAGGCAAAGGAGAAGGTTCAAAATCAGCAGCAACAGAAGAAAATATTGAAGGAATTTTAAAGAATGGTACAATGCTCTCTTATAAAAACACATATAATCATATTCATAAATACAATGTTCATTTATAATTATAACATTTTTTTTACAGCATCTAGTTCAAAAAATGATGTAAAGAGTGATGATCCCAAAACACCATCTGAAATGGGAACTGAAAGCAGAGAAGCTACTTATGATTTTTCTAACATCTTAAAATCCCCAGCATGTCCAACCATTGAAAATGTGTTGGATGACTCAAACAAGAAAGGAGGAAGCAAGGGATAAAATTTGAAGATCTGTCTTTTTAAGAATTATGTAATTTTGATGGACATGTAGTTTAAAAGAAGAAATGTAATTACTTTGGACAATTATGGTTATGTAGTTAGTAATGGACATGTAGTATTATTTTGGACAATTATGTACTTTATATATATTAATTTAAGTGTGTTAGTAATATTCTAAGTGTTAATGATTTATGATATTGTTTTAAAAGGAAATAATTTTAATTTTATTTCTCTCTTCAATACTAACCATGATTGATATTTCAGAGAACAACAGGAGAAATATAAATTTGCTACAAATGTCAAGGATAGGTAAATGATCATTACATAAATATATATATGCTCTTTTTTATTAAACTAAATAATCATTTATAACATATGTTATATTTAGTGAGTCAAAGAAGGATTCAAAAAAAGAAGAAGTAGAGAAGATTCAAATTGCCAAAAACATAACAAATCAAAGGTAAATATTCATTTTATCTATATAAAGGAATAATGTTCATTTTATCAATAAATTAAATGATCATTTACGGTTCACAATGTATTTATTGACAGAGAAAAGACTTTGGAAAGCAAAAAGTCAGACAAACCTGAGAAAGAAAAAATTCAGATTGATGAAAAGGAAAAAGAAAAAAGGTATACATTTTAATTTACAAATATTTGTTCATTATATTAAAGTTCATATTTAAATTAGTAAATGTTCAAATTAACTCTAAACTATGTCCCATGAAAACAAAAGACCACAGAGGGAGACCCAAAATATTCCTCTTGCTTTCCGATCTCCGTACATGATCAAATACAAGGATTTGTTGAAAGATGAAGAAACAATGAACAAACTTGTAACTGACTTTTCTTTTAGCGGAAAAGATCAAAGGTAAAAATAATTTACTATCATGAAAATTATAACATTATATTTGTTGTATAAACATATAATTTTAAAAATGTAAATTTTGCAGTGAGCTACTATATTACGATGGATTGAATTTGATCAATAGGGGAGAAATGAAAACTCTTGAAGGTGATACAGAAGTAATTAATAATGTGATTGATTCATGGGCCACGATACTGAATCAAAAAAGCTCAAAAAACAAGATCTACTTCTCAACATTTCCACATGTAAGTTTCAATTTTAATGGAATATATATACATTTTTACTATACAAAATGATCATTTTCATTATAATTATATAATATTTTAAAATGATCATTTTCATAATATATATATGTACATTGTTAACTATATTAAACTGATCATTTTCATTATACTAAATGGTCAATATTATATATTAAAATAATCATTTGCATTGTTTGCAGCAAATTATTTATGCCAATACAGTTTCTCCAGAAGGATCAACAATGGAGTTTAGAATTGAATACTTCAGAGAGAGAATAAACAATAAGTTGAGGTTATACAAAATCAAAAGCATTGTTGGATATCAACAGGTATTAATAAAATATATGCATTAATAATATGTTCATTTACAATAACGAAAGTATATAATAATATAGCAAATTATGTACATATTTTTTTTCCAGTGGCCATATATAGACATTTCTATCTACTATGCATTGATCATGTCAATGACACAATGCATATCATTGACAACAGAAAACTACCACAACATCAAACAATTGTCACAAAGTACGAAAACCAACCACAATTGGTGGTAAGTATAATTATTACTTTTTCTAGTTATAAAAAATACATTTATGGAATATCTTTTAATAATTATTTATATATAAGTTGCAGTTAAAAGGATATGCTGAATATATGAAGAAATTGGGATATGAAGATGCAGATTCTATTGAGAAACATAAAGTGGTATTGCGAAAAATGAAGTGGAGAAGCAATGAAGATCACACAAATTGCGGAGTTACATAATGAAACATATGAAAAACTTTCACTTGTGATCCAAATGAAGAATGGATTTGTGACTTAAAAGCAAACAATGTAAGTAAATTTCAACAAACAATATGAAAAAACTTTAAAATCAGTTAGTAAGACATAATGATCATTTGTGTAATAATTAATGTTCATATCTATAATGGAAAATTTTCTGAATCAGGTAAACCAAATCAGAAAGCTCAGAGTACAATACACTGCTCAACTAATGCTGAATGAAGGAAACAAGCAGTCTCAGAATAATAGAAGAGCAGCAAGAAGATTTACAACAGCTTAATGCAAAATGTTCACATATAGAAAATTATATGTTCATACATGTTTGATGATATATATATATATATATCTTCTTTTGTAAAGATTGTTCAGGTATAAACAAAATTTATTAAGTTTTTAATTTTGAAGTTTTTAATTTTGTGCTCAATACATGTTTCATGATATTCAAGTTTTACATAATTAGTCCAACATTCCACCTTAAAATTGCAAATTTTCTATAAATGATCATTATCAAATAATATAATAATCAAATTTGATAATTATAAAATAAAATGATCATTTTTAAATAAAAATGATAAAACTAATGACTATTTACAAAATTAAATGATCACTTACACATACTAAAGAATCACAATTAGAAAGCTAAAAATAGTTTTAAACAAAAAGGTTCAAATAACAATTTAAATCAAAAATAAAAACAACTTGAAGCAACAAGCAACTTGAATCTCTTTAAAGTTGAGACAATTAAAAATATTAAGAATTGTATAGTAATTTACTCTCCTATTTCCCATTTGTAGCCAATCTCTTAGCCACACTTGTATAAAAAAAAATCTAATAACCTATCATATTTAGTTGAAATCTGTGGAGAACCGCCTTGAGTACTTCTTCGAACAGTAGGAGCATCATGAACATTTCTTGAAACACTAGGAGAAACTTGAACATTCCAAGAACCGCCTTGAATACTTATTGGAACATTAGGAACATCATGGATATTTCTTGAAACATTAAAATCAGCTTGAACATTCCGAAAACCTCCTTGAATACTTCTTGGAACATTAGGAGCAGCTTGAGAATTCCTTGAAACAGTAGGATGAACTTGACCATTTCTTGAAGCTTTTGGAGGCTTCTGAACAACTCTAGAAATTTTAGAAGGAGCTTGGGCTTTGGTCTGAGCATGCACAACTGTGACAAAATGTACATTTCTTGGTTTCTTTGCTGGAAATTGAGCATTATTTGGAACATTTTCAACATCTTGAGCAATTGCAACTCCTTCATGAACATCAATATTTTTACCCAGACGATCAAAATCAAAACACTTAATGAACACATACAAGAAACTTAATAAACTTATACAAAAATAAAAGGTAGATAAATATTATTTCACCTTCACAATAGAGGATATGTCTGGATCAACAGTAAAATTTGATTGCATAGAATTTTCTCCATATTCCTGATAATATTATAAGCACAAATTAAAATAACTAAAATGTACAATTAGAATAAATAAATAATCATTTATATAATACCTGTTCAAAGTCATTTGATACACTATCATCTGAAGAAGAAAGGATATCTTCTACAACAACTGATTTTTTATTACCAACCTTGAAAATAATAATAAAAAAAAACTTAATTAAAATTAGTAAAAATAAATAAAAACAAAAATTAAATAAAAAAAATTAAATTGTGGATTTTTAATCACAATTAACTCATTCGGATCTGTAAAAGAATTAGCATAGGAGATAGGACACCCATTCTCATCCAATTCCTGAGGTAAAACAAAAATGCTCAATTCTTGAACATAAATAATCAATAACAAAAACACTAATATTCATTATTACCTGAACAACTGCTTGACCTTTAAATATTTTATAAGGAGTGTATACTGACTTTTCTTCATCCACTGACCCCTGGCTTTATTGTAAGCCTTCTCTAAATTACTCTTAGGCCTATAATTCCTCTCACCGGTAGGCCTTGTTTTGGCGGATTCTTAACTTCATGATCAACAATTTCAATACCTTTAACCGGTTCACCAAAATCAATAACCCCTATAACACTCTCAATCTTTTCTTTTAAAAGATTAAAAAAATATTCAACCTCAGCTCTAGCATTTAAAGAATGTTGACAACTTGTAACCAACTTAACAAATTTCCTTAGTGTTTGTGACCTTCAAATATTTGTGGATACTACATTAGACTTCAACGTCGGTTCATCAAGACGATGACTACACATAGCAGCCTTAGTCCACCTCTTACATAGATACTCATCTGGAATCTTATGAACGCAGTTTATGTGATATATCCGAAGAGCATGAGAACAAAGCAAACCCATCTCACTAAACAGCATGCATGTACAACATATTGCATGTGTTTCTTTATTAAAAACAACCTCATGCTTGATTATGTCTTTCCCAGGTCTCCACAAATGATAACTATATTCAGGAAAATTCAAACCAGCATCGTTATGATCACAAGCAGTACCCTTAATGAACTCTTCCTCAAAAAGCACATAAGCTTGAATTGTATACAATGATCTAGCATGAACAAGAATCCCAATGTATGCAAAGGCCAAATGACGATTACTTCTTATTGTATTATAATCTCTCCCTTTTTCCTTACTTCTCCACTTTTAAACCACATCAAGAAACACTTGATAGAAATCACATAAACCTTGTGTCTTGTTAAGCCTTTGAGAAACTGATTTATTAGTTGTCTCACTACGTTGAGAAGAGAGAACACCTCCAGACCAATGTTGCTTTGAAAAAGCTGGACACCACTTCTCTTTAATCTTATACAAATCACTTAACCAATCAAACTTTGCACAGTCATATTTCATCAACATTCTGTATACAGGACATGAACATTAAGAATATCAATAATGATCATTACAAATAAACATGTATAAACCACTAAATGATCATATCCTATAAACAAATATAAAAATTATAAAATAGCAGAATGAAGTACCTTTTCCAATAATGCTCAAATTCAGCTGGAGTTTCACAGTACTTCAGCAAATAACCAAATAAATCAGTGAAACCATCCAAAGCTCTCAATGCCCCAATGTGTTTCTTGGAATTTTGTTTAATATGCCAAACACATAATCTATGATGAACACTTGAAGGAAAAATATTTCGTATACCAGCTGCAATTGCTTGAGCTTGATCAGTCATTATTGTAATAGGAAATTTCCTTCCCATAGAAGTTAAAAAAGTATCAAATAACCACTCAAATGATTCTGTTCTTTCATTAAGTACAAATCCCATGCCAAACATAACATTATTTGCATGATGATTCATACTAACAAATGGAGCACAAATCATCCCATATTTGTTAGTCCTATAAGTAGTATCAAAGACTAACAAATCACCAAAATAATGATAATCTCTCATCATCCTTCCCTCTCTCCAAAAAAAAACTAACCAATGCACCATTTTCATCTTGTTCAAAGTCATAATAGAAATCTGCTTCATCAATTTGTCTTTTTGCAAAAAATTTGATTAGTTGATTGTTGTCCCCTCCCTCAAGTTGAGCTCTCTTTTCAGCCAAAATAGCATTATAAGCATTAGGAGCTGTAAAACAAAGGTTTGGAGACCCTCCAACCTCCTTCTTCAAAGCTCTCAAAGAATAAGAAACTTTAACTCCACTCAATCTAAGTGTAGAAATGAAATTAATGTGTTCCTTAGAAATATCCCTTTGAGACCTTATTAAATGTCTCTTGTCAAGAGGAATCATTTCATGATTATGGACCATTTCATGTCTTGTACATGTATATACACCTAACCGATCAATACTAAACTGAATAAAAGCTAAGCAACCAGCCTTATATCAATTCTCTCATAGGATCTTTTATTCCTACACTTATCATCTTTAAAACCCTCATTAGTACAAACAAATCTTTTCATGGAAAATAAATTATCTCTTTGCCTCTTACCTTTTCCAATTCTAATTCCAAAGCCCTTTCTAAAAGCATATTCATTAAATAATTCATAAGCCACATCTTCAGAAGGAAATTGCTTCCCAAAAAATTCAGAAGTATTTGCTTCTTGAAAAATAATAGCATCCTTTTTTTCCACTGCAATTTAAAAAAAATAACAAATGAACACATACAATAGCAATAATATTCAATTACATTAAATAATATTATAAATAACAAAACAATAAACACATGTAAAATGTTAATGTTTATATATCTTTACATAAATGAACATATTCTTAAATGATAATGAAACATATAAATGAACATTTATAATTACATACAAAATTATAAATTATATTTACTACACATTTAAACATAAATGAACATATAATAAGACATAAATGAACACTACTTTTATATGACGCGAAACAATAATGAAATCAATTGAATAGAAAATTTTATAAACTATACATATTCATTAAAACTGGAAAAAAAAAAATCAATAAAATAACAACATTACAATTAAAAACAATAAAATCAAAACAATACAACCAAAACTATAAATTAAAAAAATTACATAAATAACAATGAGATCACAAATTATACTCCAGCATTATATAAGTTATAATGCATACAATTAGCAATAACAATTACCAAAACTATCCGATCCAAAATTATAATCGAGCATAATATAAGATAAAGTTCAAACAATAAGCAAAACTATGAAATCAACAATTAAAATTGAACAATTACATACGAAAAACAGAGCATAATCAAATCCATTAATTGAATGACAAATTACTCACATTCATTCGTAAACGATTCGAGTAAACCAACTCCAGGAGGAAAAATAGAATCACACTCACGATCAAACGCAATTGAGCTTGAATCACACTCACGATCGAACGCAATTGAGCTAGAAAAATCCATGGAAGCAGAGAGAAAAAATTTGGGGAAAAATAAAAAATGTAGGAGAGAGAAAATGAAATCAGAAATATACGAATGAAAAAAATAGAGGAAATTGGGTTAGAAAAATCATTACATAGTTGCTTGAATACAAAGTTAACGAAAATATAAAAAAAAGGGGTACAAAATGAAGAAGATAAAAAACGACGTAGTTTCATTGGGGGTGTAGGGAAAGTTCACTAAACTAGAGTCTGGCAAATTTTAAGATGCACCATGGTGCACCTAGAAATAGGTGCACCACGCCTATATTTTTGAACAATTAGTAAAAAAATCTGGACAATTGCAAATTGTGAACATGTAGTAAAACCATCTGAACATCGCAATTTTGAACATTTAGTTAAAAAATCTGAACAATTGCAATGCATCATGCCTATACTTTTGAACATTTAGTAAAAAAAAATCTGAACAATCGATAATTTTAAACATTTAGTTAAAAAATCTGAACATCGCCATTTTTGAACATTTAGTAAAAAAATCTGAACAATCGCAATGCAGCACGCCTATAATTTTGAACTTTTAGTAAAAAAATATGAACAATAACAAATTTTGAACATTTAGTAAAAAAAATCTGAACAATCGCAAATTTTGAATTATTACGAGTAAGACAAATTTTGAACTAACTCGTAATAATTCAATAGTTTTGTAATATAAACTAACATTTAATGTAAACAAAATGAACATTTCTTAATAAAATATGAACATAAAAATTACTTTGCATGTTTATGTTTAATTATTGTGACGTGTTCATATTTTTTTTTACTAAATGTTCATTTTTTGTAAAATGTTCAGTTTTTTTTTACTAAATGTTCAAAAGTATATTCGTGGTGCTTAGGCGCACCATGATGCATATAATACTAATTGCTAGAGTCTAGGGAAAAATTTGTAGACTAATTGGAGGTATAATGTCCTGAAAGATACGACAAATTTTAAGATGCACCATGGTGCACCTATTTCTAGGTGCACCACGCCTATACTTTTGAACAATCAGTAAAAAAATCTGAACAATTGCAAATTTTGAACATATAGTAAAAACATCTGAACATCGCAAATTTTGAACATTTAGTTAAAAAATCTGAACAATTGCAATGCATCATGCCTATACTTTTGAACATTTAGTAAAAGAAATATGAACAATCAAGAATTTTGAACATTTAGTTAAAAAATCTGAACATCACAATTTAGAACATTTAGTAAAAAAATCTGAACAATCGCAATGCACCACGCCTATAATTTTGAAATTTTAATAAGAAAATATGAACAATAAAAGATTTTGAACATTTAGTAAAAAAATCTGAACAATCGCAAATTTTGAATTATTACAAGTCAAACAAATTTTGAACTGATTCGTAATAATTCAATAGTTTTTTAATATAAACTGAACATTTAATGTATACAAAATGAACATTTCTTGATAAAATATGAACATAAAAATTGCATGTTTATGTTCAATTTTTGTGACGTGTTCATATTCTTTTTGCTAAATGTTCACTTTTCGTAAAATGTTCAAATTTTTTTACTAAATATTTAAAAGTATAGTCGTGGTGCACATAATACTAATTGGAAAGATACGGCCCACAAACCCAGATTACACAGGCCCAAGCCAAATAAATCCTCAAGCCCAGACTCGACCGTTCAGATTTCAAATTCAAACAAATTAAAACTTTTCCTAATCATTTTTCATTCAATCCCTAACTCTCAAAATCTCATTCAATGATTCAAACTCCAAGAACCCAAAAAAATCCACCATGAAAACTGTGCTTCTCTCTCCAAAATCTCTCCAACCCATATCCATGGAAGACAACAGATCCAACTTCCAAGATGAAAGAGAAACCAATTACTTCCCAGATTGCCGCAAAGACGCCAATTGTACCTGCAAAATGTGTTTAGATAGTATCACTGCTACCTTAGATCTTATGTCAATGAGTGTTCAAAGAAGCTCTCTTACTAAGCTTTCGGCTTCGAAACCGGTAGTCGATATAACCCCGGTTTCAATTGACCCTACTCTTCTTTCTACTCCAATTTCCAAAACTCCTCCAATTGCTGATGTTGCATCGTCGAAGACAGTTGTTCGATCAACAGCAAAAACGGTTGAATTGAAGATTGTTGAGCCGAAGAAGAGGAAATTTGGGTTGGGATGGAAGTTTTTGAGGTGGGTTTTGTTGATTGGGTTGATTCTAGGGTTGGAATTCGGGTTTTCTTGGGGGGTTATTCGGGTTTTACGGCCCAGATTATCAGGGGAGATTTTGAGAGATATTGTTGAAGAATCTTCTGGGGTTGTGAATTTGAGTGACAGATTGATTTTGATTCAGAAAAAAATGAATGATTTTGTTGATGGTACTGTATCAAGCTGCAATCTTGGCGATTCTTCTTGGGAAATTAATCAGGTGAACAATGATTTCATATCTTAAATATTGCAAATTATATTCATTGACCCGTTGTTAATAGTGACAATCTTTTTCCAGACATTCTAATAATAGTATAAGCGACTGTTAATTGTCGAACAACAATAATGTATACATGTCAATCATGTGATAGACTTGAGAAGTTTTATGATATAATGTATAAATGAATGATAAATGTCAATCATGTCACAGACTGTTAATTGTCGAACAACAATAATGTATACATGTCAATCATGTCATAAACAAATGACCAATTTATGATATTGATTTAATAAAATATGCTGTATATTTTCAGAATGGCCTGATCTCAATGTCATATTGCACATTGTACAAATCTGCAGCAGAAGAAGTGTTGATATGGGGGTGGCCTCTGCAGACAGCTGGTCTTTTAACAGCCGAGTTTTCGTCACGATCATTCAAGGTCTTGTCTGGCAGAATTACTGAGGTGAGTGAGTCAGGTTAAGACAGACTAATATATATATATATATATATATATATATATATATATATATATATATATATATATATATATATATATATATATCCAAATTACCTGCTTTTATGAATAATTAATTGAGCTAAGATTATATGTTTGAATAATATGTGGTCATTTTACAAAGTAAATATCATGTTAATCCTGTAAACTTTGAGGTTTTGAGTAAGAGTATTCAACTTTTTGATGAGGAACTAAAGATACTAAACTTGAAATCAAATCCAAAAATTTTGCTTATGGGCTTGTTAGACTGCTGCTGTTTTCTGAAGTATACTTATTCTGTTCATTTAACAGTGGCCTGAAGGCAAGATCATTTATACTGTTCGAGAGGCGAACACGACATGGATTTTAAGAAAATGGAGTGCTTCTGTTGTGCAATTTGAACCAAATACTTGGATAATTGAGTATAGCAGAAATTCTGTTTAAGAAAATCCAAGTATTTTGATGGGTGCTGTTGAATTCACCAAGTTCAGGGTAATGAAACTGATGCTAAGAATGAAACAGAAGGTTTGGCTATTGCTGTCTGACTTCAGATTCTACACTACTTCAACGGTAGAAGCTTCTGGTCCTAGCATCCCAACATGAATGAATAAGTACACCTTTGCGGCTTTCGAAGCTTATTGTATATCTCTCATGTTTTTATAGGAAGATTATGGAGCTAGAAATTGTTGAATGTTGATAACTCTTCAACTGTATATAATGGATTTTGTCATGACTAGTAGAGTAGCTGAAGTAATACAAATTTTTGCCTATACCCCGAGGTAAGTAGAGCTGGCTACACCCCCGCTCCTTCCTAATGACGTCATAATGTTTTTTTAGTTCTGAATCACTGAAAATGTTCACTTATTTATTATTAAATGTTTATTTATTTAAAATAATTATTAAATTATTAATTATTCTAATACGATATGAAATATTCAAATTATTATATTTTTGTTTCTAGATGACTATTTATAGTAGTACCAAGGAAAAAGAAAAAGTTTATTCCTTTCTTAATAAAATCAAATGACATTGTATACCACCAAAAATTGAGCAATTGGATATTAAATTAATGTACAATACAATTCAAACACAATAAACTTCTCGATCCAAATTGAAAAATTCAAGCTTGTGATTTTGGTTCATGCTGTTTGGCGACTCCATGCCTTCTTGGTTTCCTTCTTTTTGTCATCTTCCTTTTTTTCCTTGCTATAAAGCAGTCTAACTCACTACATGCATGATTTTTTTTAACCAAAAAAAATATATTGTATTAGATTTGAGCAAGAATAAATGTTGAAAATGAACTAATTTTTATTTGAATATAAACATGGATAAGTATAAAAATTGACATGATCGATATGAAAATTAACATCTATTAAAATATAAATGAACATATAATAATATATTAATGAATATATATTAGTGTGGAATTGATCATCTATTAATATGAAAATGAACAACTATTAATACATTATTTACATAACTCAATATGGATATGAACATCTATTGATATATACATGAACATATATTAATTTGAAAATTACCATTAAAGATAATAATTGATGAACATATACACAAAGTATAAATACGTAACTCTTGAAGCTATATCAATATGTATATGATTGATCATATATTCATATGAGTAATTAAAAAGCATATATTGAAATTTAAAATTGTAATGAACATGGAATATTTGAAAAAGATGACAAAAACATGAACATTTTATGAAAATTTTAATAATTGTATGCTAATATGTAAAGTTGTGAATGACCATATACTATTATGTGATTGAACATCTACCAAAATAAAGAGCTATACCCAGTTAATTCTCCAGATAAGAGGTATAATTGTCTTTTCAAGTACCGCCTGAGGGGTATATGCATCTTTTTATATACTAGTTGAGGGGTACATGTGTAATTTCCTCACCAAACAATAAAAGCAAGTTGCAAACAGTAAATGGACAGCTCACCAAAAGTACTGAATAAATGACCCTACTTTTTCAATATATTTACAAAAATGCCATCAGATTAACAAAAATTTGTTTATCTAGCAGATTAACTTGTATTTTCCCCAAAATAAAAACAAACATTTATCAAAATATTTTTCCACTCCAAACTATGATAATGAATGAACATTACGTGAATGACTATGTACTAATAGACATTTATAGTGCTGTCAAATTTTAAACCGAAACCGTTTAACTGCCCGAAACCCACCGACCCAAATGAGAACCGAACCGATTAAAAACCGATTTTTTTAAAACCGAAAACCGACCCGAACCGTATTTTAGTAAACCCAAAACCGAATCGACCCGAATAATGTTAAACTGTATAAGAACCGAACCCGTTTACAAACCGAACCGAATATAAACCGAATTGAAAGAAAACCGAACCGAAAAAGAACCGAACCGTATCTAACCCGAAACCGGTTCCAACCCGAAACCGTTTAAACTGGCAAAAAAAAACCGCTTACACCGAACCGTTAGCAAACTGCTACCCGTTTGCACCGAACCATTTAAAAACCGAACTAGTTATAAACCAAACCGTTTATGAACCAAACCGCTTCTAAATCGAACCATTTACAAACTTTTTTATATAATTAAATGGATTTTTTTTACGGGGATATAATTAAATGGATTAAATATTAAAAATCTTAGAATATTTTTTTAAAAATAGCAAGGCAAATCATTCATTAAGGTCTTAAGGATAATCAGTGTTCACAAACAAGAGCAAAACAAGCAGGCTCAGGCCCTGCCTCAAACTATTAGCAACACTACTGCCTCTAGTCATGTATACATTTGAGGTGATGAAACCAAATGAACAAAAATTAAAGCTTGTAATATTAAGTACCAAGGCTTGGCTCAAGGCGTAATAAATAAAATTAATTCACAGAGACTATTAAGCATATGATTACATTGATTCTGTGAGTAATAATGAAATAAAGATGGGAGTGTGCTAGTGACATGAATATACTATTATGCTATGTTTTAATTCAGATTCAACTATAATTTAGTAAACTTGAAATGGAATCGATATGAATAACGTTAAAGTGGTTAAACAATCGAAGAACCGAACCAGTTATAAACTGAACCGAAAAAGAACCGAACAATATAAAACTGAACCGAAAAAGAACTGAACCAGTTATAAACTGAACCAAAAAAGAACCGAACTGTTTCTAACCCGAAACCGTTTCCAACCCGAAACTGTTTTAACCGGGATAAAAACCGTTTACACCGCACCGTTAACAAACCGCAACCCGTCTGCACCGAACCGTTTACTACTCGGACTGTTTACAACGCGAACCGAATTAAAACCGCTTAAGAATAAACCGAAATCGAATCGAACCGATAACTATTTAAACCGAACCAAAACCGACCCGTGAAACAATTAAACCGATTCCAAACCGACCCGATTAAATACCGAACCGATTTCAAACGGAACCGAAACCTAACTGTCAAACCGTTTTAACAGTGCTAGACATTTATATATAAATGAACTTTTATATATAAATAAACTTTTATACTCCCTCCACATTCAATTATCAGCAACATTTGCCACAAATAGGTGCTACCTATTATCTGCAACAAATTTTTTTCTTTCCCTTTTTAGTAAATTTTATACAATAGAATGACCACCTTACCCTTACTTTATTTTTTAAACTTTGTTTAACATCTTATAGTTACACTTACTTACCAACTAATTACCACCTTATCCCAACCCAACCCTGCCTACCACCACCCCAACCACCAGCCCAGACGAAACCAGAGCACCACCCCAACCGCGACTATACCCCATCGCCGCGCCAATCTCCGACCACAACCTAGCTCGCCGCCCCATTCTCCGACCAAACCCCATCGCACCCTGGACCAGACCCCATCGCACCCTAGACTAGACCCCACTACTCCACCACAACCACTAATCAGAGTTCGTGGTTTTTGCGGTGGGTTTCGTGGCTAGACTTGGGGTCGTGGCTTGGGCGGCGATTTCGATTCAAGACCTAGGATTGTGGGTTGGGGGTGGTTTAGATTTAAGATATGGGGTCGTGGGTTGGGCGATCGGTTTCGATTCAAGACCTGGGGTTGAGGGTTTCGTGGTGGGTGTCGGCGGTCTAAGTAAGTGGGGCTGGTGCGTGAGTGGGGGTTGCGTGAATGGGAATGCGAGGTGGTTTGAGTTCGTTGGTTTTGCGTCCGTCGATGGGGGTTGCGTGGTGGTTTCAGTGGTCTGAGGTCGGTGGTTCTGCGTGAGTGGTGAGGGTTGCGTGGGTGTCGATCGGTGTTTCGTGGGGTTGCGTGGTGGGGGTTGTGTGGGTGTGGGTGTTGGATTAATTATCCCTTTCCTTTCCTCTTAATTAATTTTCAATAATCATGCTTAAGAAATTTTGCCTAGGAGTCCGTAAAAAGTACCATTGTTGCAGATAATTGAAACCGGAGGGAGTTTTATTTATCTATTAATATGTTAATGACAATATACTAATATATAAATGAACATTTATTAAAATAAAAATGAACATTCATTAAACAAAATCACTACGAACTAAATTTATTAATTCTTACATTTCTCCAGAATCTTCGTTTTTCTTCTCTGAAATTGTTTCCTTTGTTCTGCAATAAATAAATAAATTATTGATTTAATTTACTAGTTTTTGAACAAAAATTACTAGAACTATACTATTATACTTACATTGGTACATTTTCCATGGTTGATTTTTCAAATATGTTCTTGAAATACAATCGCAACAAAAAATTAGTAAAACCCAAGATTTATACTCTTTTCCGTTCCAAATTTGAAAAAATAAATAAATTACTCTTTTCAAATTTCGCCTTTGTTTTGATGAATTTTGAAGTGATTGAACAAATCTTGTGATACTTTGTGATAATTTGTAATAATTTTGCCATTACAACTTTAAATGAGAGAGAAAATGGCTGAAAAATGGGTGAGGAGAGAAAAAATGGCTAACAAATAGTTGAGGAGGGAGAAAATAGCTTTAGATATGGGCGAGGAGAGAGAAAATATAAATGGAGGTTTTTATTTATTTATTTATTTTAATATATATATATTGGGGGTAAAATCAATTAGTATGTAGTGGCAAGTGGATATGGAGGTAGGGGATGGGGGTGTATGTAGAGCTCCCTACTCTAGGGTGTAGGGGGATAGATGGTTTTTGTTAAAACAATTGCAAACAGGTCCGGCTCTGGACATGTTTTTTTCTCACCCACACATCAGGGCTCCAAAAATTCATCCTAAATCTTTGACTTTGTCTTTTAATTTCCAAATAAAAATTAAAATGATTATGAAGATCTAATTAAGGATTTTGCTTCAAAAAAGGTTAGAAAAATGACATTTTTTAAATAAAAAGTTTTTATTTGTTGTTTTTAGGTCTATAATTTGTAGTACTGTACTAAAAAAATCATTTTTTAAACGAAAAAAGTCATTTTATAATATTAATATTTTTGAACCTTTTAAAAATAGTCCTTTAAAAATTTAAGAGTCTAATTTTTATAGTTTGAACAGGGCCACTGAATTGCCGAAGACGACCCTAATTGCAAATTTAAGTACGAGTACTTTTTTATCTTTAGTTTGACACATTAAACGAATGATCTTATGATCTACAGTCTAAACAATAGAATCCACTATTGCAAGTTTGAGAACAAGCCTATGCAAAAAATGCCTCCATAACCGGGTCAATTAAACCATACTAACCAACTGCCCTATGTTTAATTTTCTAACTCTTCTGTTTAACAAGATCCCACGTGAATATATTTTACCGTATCCATAAATCACCAAAGCAGTCAAAATGTAGTGTGAAAATAGCGTATAAGTTAAACAGCGTCAACTAAAAAATATGGAGTAA